TTGTCACATGACATGAGATCTCTCGTTGTTACAGAATACATCAAGTATTCCACCATGTCCTCTTAGGTTTGCCGATGGAAATAAAATGTGTGCCACTCGCATGGATTTATTCCCAAATTCTGACCGTATCACTCTCTCAAACGTGTTATATGTGCCAAATTTGAATTATTCCTTGATTTTAGTATCCAAACTTCTCAAGCAAACCAACTGTTTTGCTCTTCTAACGGATACTTTGTGTGTCTTACAGGATCATTTCACGAAGACTCTGATCGGAGCCAGTGAAGAGAGAGATGGGGTTTACTACTTTAAAAATGTTATGGTTGCAAGGGTTCATTGAGTAGCTAGTCAAGTTGTTGGTTCAGCTGATCAGTTACGTTGGCACCAGAGGCTCGGACATCCGTCATTTTCTGTTTTATCTACTTTATCTATGTTTTCTTCTTCAAATAAAGTCGCTTCCCGTAGTCCTTCTGACACATGTTTTTGGGCTAACCAGACTAGACGAGTGTTTTATGATAGTTTGAATAAATCAAAAGAGTGTTTTGTTTTGATTCATTGCGATGTTTGGGGTCCATATCGCACACGAGCATCTTGTGGAGCCGTTTATTTCTTAACTATTGTGGATGATTTTTCAAGAGCAGTATGGACATACTTGCTTCTTGGGAAATCTGAAGTCAGATCAGTGTTTCAAACTTTCTGTACCATGGTAGAAAAACAGTTTGGTAAAGTAGTCAAAACGATTCACAGTGACAACAGCACCGAGCTTATATGTCTTTCTTCATTCTTTCGTGAGAAAGATATTCATCATCAAACCTCATGTGTGTATACTTCGCAACAAAACGGCCGTGTGGAAAGGAAACATCGACACATCTTGAACGTCTCCCGTGTTTTACTATTTCAAGAGAGTTTGCCAACGCAGTTTTGGGGCGAGGCTGTCATGACTGATGTTCTTCAAGGTCACTCACCATATAGAGTACTCTATAGCGACAAACCGGCTTATGATCACCTACGGGTATTTGGAAGATTGTGTTACACACATATTTGCTCTAGAGACAAGGATAAGTTTGGTTCTCCCGTCGTTGCATATTCGTGGGATATCCTACTGGTCAAAAAGGTTGGAAAGTATATGATCTGAAGAAGAACAAGTTTCTTACCTCACGCGATGTTGTGTATTATGAGGATGAGTTTCCTCTGTCTTCGATCTCTGAATCTACACCCACTCACCAGTTTCCATCTTCTCCGCAAGTGGCTGACGATGATGATTGGCTCATTGAACCAATAGCAATCTCCAACGCAAGGGGGAGCGCTAATGAAGCAGCTGCACAACTTTCTGTTTCTTATTCTGTTTCTGACACACATCCAGTGATATCGAGTGATGAAATAGTACCATCACATGTGCGTGAATCATCGGATGATGAAATAGTACCATCATCTGTGCATGAATCAGAATAGTCTGGAGAGTCCGTTTTATTGCAATAGTCAAGCCGCCATTCATATTGCCGTTAATCTCGTCTTCTATGAGAGGACTAAACACATTGAACGAGACTGTCATAGCCATCCAGGGATGTCAACTTGGACCAAAGCCCGAAGCCCGGTCCGGTCCTAAAAAAATCGGGTTTGGACTTTGGTATAAAAGCTTAAAAAAATAGGTCTTTTGGGCTAAATCCATTCGGGCTTAAGTCTGATCGGACTCGGGCTTACCCGAAAAGGCCTGTACTTTATATTATAATTTATTTAGAAAATTTTATAATACTCTTTATTAATTTAAAACTTTAATTTTTAGTTGTGTGCCTTCATATAAATATCAAGGCTCAAACTAAATTAGTTTCAAAAAGCACTCCCACCTCCTAACTTATCCTTCTCGGTTTACAACGAAACGCTTAGAAATGTTAACTGTGAAACTTCCATTGCAAGGATTGTGATAATCAAGGGTTTTAGACACTAAGATTGGATCTCTTCCAGGACATGTATAACTCGAACGGTAAGGAGGCTTAGGGTTGCAAAGGTGGAAAACATTGAGGCTCTTGTAGGTTGGTGAAAACTCAAAAATTCCGGGAGGCAAGGTTGCTGCTGTGAATGTAGCGTTGCAAAAAGAACCTCGAAGCTCTGCTCTGGCTAGTTTAAGAGTCTTAGATGTTTGATTTATATGAAGAACATCGTACATATGGTTCGAGATGCTTAATAACGTTGTGTTTCTTAAGCAGTGAAGCTTCAGCAATGGATGGCCACATGTTTTGGGACGGTTTCCACCGGAGAAGGGGAAACCAGCTGTCATGTTCCCACAGTGAAACAGAGTCGTGCATGACCTAAGTTCTTGTTTACTTGAAGTAGAAGAAAGATGGAAAAATAAGGTAAAAAGGAAGAAATAGAACAGAGTGGTCAGCTTTGCCACTCATACAATATACACAACCCTTACTTTTTATTTATATTCTTTATTAATAATTTACTGGAAAACACTTATTAGTTTTTTGACCCACTAATTTCTGGTGAATCTCATATCTTCGCATTTCGACGTTTTATATAACTTTACCAGAGTTTTAAGGAATGTGTTATGTGCTTTACAATACCGCAATTGTCAAAAGAGTCCAAATAAGTATCGATTAAGGTTAAAAGAAGCTTAATGTATATCCTCTTCATGTAGAGGTTATATTAAGGACTACTAGAGAAAAACAATATCCAATATTTTATTTGGTAAAATATACTAGTTTAAACGCAGCAGTTGTGGTTGCAGCGGTAGTTTGCAGAAGCGAATGATTGCGGTTAACAGCGTTAGCTAGCAGTTTGTATGATTGATACAATAATTAAGAACGGATGTATTTGCGGTATATTTTCGACTGGTTGACCAGCGGATGCAAAAGCTATACAGCAAAATAATAATATAAATATATTATATAATTAAAAACAACAAAATATATAATTAAAAAAATAATAAATTTAATATAATAAATACTAAAAATTATAATAATATTATATGTATAATACTTATGTTTATCTCTTATTTTTTAGTTTAGATAAATTATAATTTTTTGAATAATAAAATAATTCTAGTTATTAAATATATAATTATGGTAAAAAAAATTTATCTAATTTTTTTAATTTAAAATCTTATAAATATAAAATTATAATTAATAGTTGTGGAATATCAATTTTAAACTATAAAAATTATTAATTAATCTTACTTCAAAAAATATCAAATTTATTTATATATTTTGTAATTATAATATTTAGAACTTATTTTATGAAACTATTATAATATTTTTATTTTAAATAGTTTAAGTATTTATTTTTTATTTTGTATTTTTTAGTTGTCCAACCGCAACCATCTGAAACTAGTGGAAAGAAGTTTTTGATTTTAAAAGGAAAAAATAATACAAAACAGTTGAAAGCGTTTTCCGTAATTGTTATCAAACGCTACTACCAACCGCTACTACCTACAAACGCTGCGTTTGAGGATGATAGCGGCTGAACTAGTCATACTCTTATATATAAACATTTCAAACAAAGCATATACACAAATTAGAATCAGACTCTCTTGAATGTCATGAAAGATCTGCTTAATTTAGACTATAGGTTTTGGTAGCTTGAAAAAGGCTTCTCTTGTTTGAAGGAAATCTTATCGATTTAATTATTTAAAATTATAAAACAAAGTATCTATTTTGGGTTAGAGACAAAATCATGTTATCAAAGCCTGAATAAGTGATAGAATTCGTCACCCAAATTGTTAAAGAATAAATCATATGTTTTGGGTTATAGACGAAATTTTCAAAGAAAATGACTGATCGATGTTAATCTACTGAGCCGTGTGTGTTTGTGTTGAGAGGAAAAACAAGTGAGAGATCGATAAAGAGCAAGTGGAAACGGTTAAGTTTTAAGGCAGTAGGCGAAAATAAAGGAATAGTTTATCATGACAAATATAATACAGACAAATGTAAATTAATATTTAAAAATTTATAATCAAAATGATATATAATTTTAAGCAAAATAATTTTATAAATCGACTTTGATAAAAAAAAACAAGTTGTAAATTAGTATAAATAAATAATTTCAAATCGTAATATTGAAAATGCAGTATTTTAATATAAAAGGTAATGAATTTTAAAATCATAAAATAAGTATAAATGAAACTAAAATAAGTAAAAAAAACAAATATGTTTTGTAAAATAAAGAAAAATTAATGTTGAAAAAACAGTGATATATTGAATGGACCAATTCATCATTTAAAATGAATCTGAGACTTTTTCTTAGAACTCGCACTATTAAGAGCTAGGATGTGCATTTGCATATTCACGTTGAGAGTTGAGATGTTGATGGTGTATGCTTTCATGGGAGAAATATTGACAAGTATAAATACGGCTAAGTAGGCGAATGTTCCTTTGGCACGGCCGTGGGTTAAGGTCGTGAAGGACCAAGTCAAAGATAACAGATATAGAGAGACTTGGACTCTTTTTTTTTTTTAATATGTCTTTATTAGTTGACCATAGAAAAAATTGGAGTTGAGAGATAGAGAGATAGAGAGGGTAATACATTTTCTTGGAAACAGAGTTAAATCATGGACTTATCTTCAGCGGAAATGAGAGGGAGTTGCTGGTAAAGCGATACCACACGATCTCCTAAAGACTAAATATACGCACGGAGTCTCATCGAACTACAAATCATGCTTCCGTTGCTCTAATCCTCTAAATGCAATTGTTAATACATTCTTCTCATTTTGGACTATCTCCAGAGAATTGAGAGATTAACTCTAAACCCTTAATTAAATATATGATTTAAGTTCCATATTTTGTCATCTGTGTTCTGAGAAAGTATATTCTTCTTGATGTGGTTACAGTGATAGTTAATTAGCACTAATAGCTGAGTTTTTCACTACAAATTCATTTTTGGACAAGAACATTTAGACTGAAGTTTCTGAATACAAATCACTTAACTCTCTTGTTGTCATTATGCAAATCACTGAACACTCTTGTTGTCTTTCAGTGAACTTCAGATTTAGTAGTTGATTGTTCTCAGGGAAGATTGCTCTTGGAACTCAGCAACGAGAACTTCTTAGAAGTATGAACCTTTATTGATAGGTTTAGAAATTAAAAAAAAAATGTGGTGAGACAATTGACTTACGAATCTAGACAATATATTCCATTAACGAGAACTTCTTAGAAGTATGAACCTTTGTTGATAGATTTAATAGGTTCCAAGGAGTTTTCTTTCTCTACACGACATTCATGGAACACTCTTCTTATAACCCGATATGTCGTTTGAGGTCATAGAAGATTCTTGAAGATGTCCAGCGGGTATCTGCAAAACAGGCTTAGGTGGGAGTTCAAGAGCATTCATGTTTCCTTCCAGCATCTCTACTACTCTGTTCATCGGTGGGCGATTTGATGGCCAAGACTGAATACACCATAAACCTACCAATGTCATCTTCTTTGCTATCTCCTCCTCTTCGCTGTTGATTCCATCTTCAATAAGTCGTCCATTGTCTCCCTTCTCAAGATCCCTATATATCCATTCAGGAAAGTACATAGAGCTTGCGCTAGATGAAGTGTCTTCAGTTGATGTTCGGGTCCTTGCTCCTATCATCTCGAGAACCAACATTCCATAGCTATACACATCTGACTTGTGGGAGACCCTACCGTATACTCCTGAAAATACTTCGGGTGCAATGTACCCTATTGTTCCTCTTGCGTCCAATAGTGACAAGATGCTTTCTTTCCTCTCGCAGAGCTTCGCCAGACCAAAGTCTGAAACTTTTGGGCAAAGATTGTCATCTAAGAGCACATTCTGTGGTTTTATGTCGAAATGTACAATCCTTGTTCTACAGCCATGGTGCAAATACTCTAGACCACGAGCAACCCCAAGTGCAATTTTATAAAGTGCCATCCAGTCCATATTTGATGACCTCTTGCCTGAGATGAACTTATCAAGAGATCCATTTTCCAAAAATTCATAAAGAATTGCTCTTTTGGAACCTTCGGAGCAGAATCCTAGTAGGGAAACAATGTTGACATGAGAAGTTTGGCTCATACTTGCAACTTCATTAACGAAGTCTTCCCCATTATTGCCCTTTGAGTCTTTCAAGATCTTCACTGCAACACTACGACCGTCACAAAGGGTTCCTCTATAAACAGTTCCAAATCCGCCTTTCCCAACAACTTCGGTGAATGACTTTGTAATTCTCTTCACATTTGCATAACTATACTGCTTCAGCGTAATAAGCGCCTTGAGGTCATGTTGTGGATTAAGAGTCTTGAGGTTCTGTTGAGTCATGTCATGTGATGTTTTTCTCTTTCTCTTTCGGAGAATTTGAAGAAACGATGTTATGACAAGAAGCACAAACAGAATAACACATACTCCTAAACCTGAAACAAGAAAGTCGTAAGAAATATAAACTTATAGAAGATCTAAAACATTCTCATAACTGGATCAGGTTTATCTTAAGAGTATGAGAATGTTGAGCACCTATTTTCGCTCCAGGAGAGATTCCTGCATCAATGAAACGACATCAGTGGTTAGTTGGAACAAGAAATATTTACCCTTTTCAATGTATTCTACATAACATAGATTTTGTCAGAGGCCAAACTGGGAAAAATATCCCAAAGTAATGCAAAAAAATCTCGGATTTTCAGTTTCAGTTTCACTTTAGTATAAATTGTTAAAGAAGAGGGCTATCACCGAAAATGAAGCATACAAAAATTACCAGTTTGTGGAGGGAGTGGACCGCATTTAACTTCTGATGGTAAGTATTCGTTGAAGCCACATCTTCTATGCGAGGATAAACATTTTTCACACGCTTTCGCATCGATCTTCACCTTCACCTCAAATCCTTTTTTCAGAGAACTTTCCAGATGTGCCACATCCCTCTCTTCCTCTTTCAGAACAAAGCTCTTAGGAACGTTCACGGTGAAATTATCATGGCAGGTCTCATGATATCCAGGATTGTCAGAGACTGAGATAAAACCTTTATTTGGACATGTATCACTCGGAAGGTAAGGATGAAAAGATTCGCATTGGTAGAATACAGTGAGGTTCTCGTAGGTTGAGGAAAGCTCGAAAATATTTGGAGGCAAGATAATGTTGGTGAAATTAGAGGAGCAAAAAGAACCAAGATGGTCTCTTCTGGCAAGTGTAAGAGTGTAAGATGTATGATTTAGATGGAGAACAGAGTACTCTTGGTCTAAGATGATTAAAGTGGCACTGTTGTTTTTGTTACAGTGAAGCTTCAGCGATGGATGACCGCAATGTTCATGACGATTCCCTCCCCAGAAGGGGAAACCAGCGGTTATGTTCCCACATTGAAACAGGGCCTCACACCATCCATGTTCTTGCTTACTTGAAGCACAAGGAAGAGGGTGAGATAAGAAGACGAGGAATAAAAAGATTAGACAAGAAGTGGGCAGATAGTACATGATTTATTTGGTTTATGAACAATGAGCAGTGTATTCTTCGTTGGAAGAGAGAGAGAGAGTCCTGATTTTTTTTTATCATCTGGCCTTATAAGAGTATCCGCAATGCAATCAAGTGTTTGTTTGAGGCTCTAAGAGAAAAAAAAAATGTTTTTTTTAATGACGTGGCGAGTTTGAAAGACAAAGGTGAGCGACTTTCGCTGACGTGATTCGTCAATTTTTTTTTTAAATCGATTTTCTTTTTAAAAAAATTAATAAAAAAAAGGATTACTGTAAAAAAAACTCTCACACTAAATTAAATTTGCAAGAAAAACCATCACCTCAAAAAATGTAAATCAATCCTATAACTTTCAAAATCACCCGTAATATAGGACCTCTCTATATTGTTGATGTAGACACTTGACGGTTTTGTTAATTTTTTAACAGCAACTAAAACGACACCGTTTTGATAAAGAAAAATCAATTCATAAAATTCAAAATCTGAGAGTCTAACTCATGACCTTTAGGATAGTGGAAGAGATAATTTACTGGCCGTGCTAATAGAACTAATTGGTATGCTTAAAAACCGAAAGACTCATATTATTTGAAAGGAAGAAAAGACTCTCTTGGAAATATCGTCGAAGATTCATTTTCTATAACTGCTCCGTATGATGGCGAAATCAGAGATGTTCTCTTCTTTTCTTTTTCTGGGTTTTGAGTTCTTCAGATAATTTAATTTATTTTGGTGGTATTTGATTTCTAGGTTCTTCATATAATTTAAATCAATCCTCCCAAAATCAATTAATTAATAGAAATGGATTTTTGGGTTTTTCGAAAATCATGGAGATTAATCGTAAGAACCTAGAATAATAGACAGATCTAATGATGGAGATTAAGAGTATATGGACAAGGGAGTGATGGAAATCTTAGTTGGTGAGATGAGAAGAGAGATTCGCCGGCAAAGAGAGACGGTGGAGGAGGGCGGAAAGGAGGAGAGCGTCGGCAACAACCAATGGAAGGAATAAAAAGGAAAAAAAGACAACCAAAATAAGAAAAAATAATAATTAATTGTTAGAAATGTTTCAGTTTCATTAAATATTAAATATTTTTGTTGGCACGATTGGTAATTATTCTCTAACTTGAGTTCGAGTCTCTGAATTTTTTGAATTGATTTTCTTAATCAAAATGATGTCGTATTGTTAAAAACTAACAGAATCGTCAAATGTCTAGTCAACAATACAGAGATGTCTTATATTGCAGGTGACTTTGGAAATCATAGGATTGATTTGCATTTTTTTGAGGTGAGAGTTTTTTTTGCAAATTTAATTTAATGTGAGGGTTTTTTTGCAGTAATCTCAAAAAAAGTTAAGAGTTTTTTCTCCGGCTCTGCATTGGTGATGCTCTAAGTTGTCTGTGGAATTGATAATTGGCCGTTCCTTTATTTTTTTATTTTTTTTCCTTGAACATATATAAGAAGTCAGTTATTAATATTTTCTTGGAAAATGAGGCCAAACATGATGGAATAAAGTCTTTAGTGGGAATGAGAGGTACTTGTTGGTAAACCTATACCATACCATCTGTTAGATATTTTGGTCTTCATCCTTTTTAAAGATGTTTTTGACTTACTGACCTTGGAGGTTTTAGGAGACTAGAAAAATCAACAATTTGACTAGCACTTTCACAAGCCATGCAAAGATTAAATGAAAACTCTCTATTCAATAGGTAAGTTAAAGCGAAGCTTGAAGCTTCTTCACCCCCCGAGAGCTGAAAAGAATTCTACCTTTGTGTTTGTTTTTGTTACCAAAGAGAGAAACATTCACACACAAGTGTTCTGATTTTTGTTGTTGTTGTTTCCCCCTGTTTTATTTAGAACATAAGAATGAAATGGTTAAAATTTTCATCTGAATTTATGTGTTCAATTAAGTGTACACGTGTTTCTATTTTTTTCTTAATGCGAATAACATACTTACACCAAATAGGTTTTCTCACATACTACAATCTTGCCATGACAACCACATTTACTAAAAAAATGCTGTCGTTCCTACAGATAAAGATAGTGCAAAATAATGCACCGCTAGAAATGTGACCTGGCTTTTTTGTTTTAGAAAAGGAAAATTTTGACAAATCATTCATCAAATTCATAGATCTCGACGAAAATGGGTTCTCTCATGGTCGAAATCGAAGAGATCTCACAATCAATCTCCCCGTGTATCTGCACTCCCGTCGAACTGGGATCGGAACGATGACAAGAGTCGCATCCATCTCTCCGTACGAGCAATATTCTTCTTCAATCGTTTTTCTTTCTTCTTGGATCGATCATGAAATCCTCCATTGATCAGTGGTTTGCAATTGCCATTTGAAAAGCCATCGCCTTTCTCTGTACGAATTAGTACTGAAATTAGGTTTTTTTTTACAAGCTCAGTTTGTTTTGATAATCGATTCGTTTTATCCAATCTGGCTTGCTGGTTTTGAATTGGTGATGTGACTTCATAGATTCTCACACAAAACTCTTTTGTTTTGATTACGGTTGAACCAAGATAGCGATTCGCTTTAAGTGTGAAGATAAAATGGCTTTAGACTACGATGCTCTGAATGAAAACCTGAAGAAGTGTCAGTATGCCGTAAGAGGTGAACTCTACTCCGAGCTTCTGAGCTTCAGAAAGAAGGCAAAAAGGTAAACACTTTCGTGTCCTGTGATTAGCTTTTAGATAGACCTGTGATTGAGCAAACTTAACTATGCTCTCTGTTCGTTTTGGACTTGATATGCATTTGCAATCATGATCCGTCGCTTGATTTGTCAGTGTTTATGGTTATATTTTGCTAACTTGGGGTTGTTTACTACTACACATATCAGATTATTTTCACAAACGTTGTCAATCTGATTTCTTTTTCATGCCAAAGATCGCAGAGCCATTGGATAGAGGACTTGCAGAGGACATTGAGAATGGTGTCGTAAGCATTGACTGGAACATAAAACAACTCGGTGACTTCTTTAAGACGACATATGACTGGGATTTACTTGCAGCGCGTTCCATTTGGGCTTTTGGCCCGGACAAACAGGTAAAAACGCATTGTCTATTTTCTTAAAAGCCTGCAATCCGAGCGTTCTCCTTATCTTTATGATTACTTTGTGGTATGTCTGGCTATAGCAAGTATATCGCGTGTTGATTGTTGATTTTTAACTTTGCAGGGGCCAAATATATTACTGGATGACACTCTCCCAACTGAGGTTATTGATAGATTCTCTGTTTATGATGATGATTTCAGGCTTTTCTGCCAGTGATAGAATCATTTGGGTTCGAGACAGACCTTAGATGCCACACACAGGGACAAGACTTTTGCGTATCCGTGTTTGATCACTGGGCCATAGTACCAGGAGACCCTCTCGACAAAGTCATCCTATTGCGCCCACTGGAGCCCGCCCCCACTCAGCATCTAGCTCGTGAATTCATGGTCAAGACCCGCCGTAGAAAGGTATTATTACTCTGCAAGATTAAAAGCATGTATTTGCTTCATCAGTTTAAATCTTTCACCATCTAATATTGTGTTGGTGTCGTAGGGAATGAGTGAGGACGTAAGCGGGAACAAGTTCTTCGATGAAGCCATGATGGTGGAGCTTGCGCAGCAGACAGGTGATCTGCATTTGCAGATGATGTGATCGTCTCTTCTTATCTTACAACCATGAGCTTATATGATGAGGACCTGTAGTTGACTTAGACTTTTGGAGCATCTTCATTTGGATTCCACTCTACTCAGCTACCATATCAGTGTAGGTGGCTCTCTTGTTCCTTACTATCTTGATGAGTCTGAAAACTGGGGAGTTGATTGTGCTAATCATGAGCTTAATTGCTGGCCTCGGTAACTTATTAATTTTTGTTCTGTTCACGGTTTTGTGTAGCTTCTTGTTCCGTTTGCATTTTTGTGTTTACAGGTTGGGAGAAGACAAAATCTCAATCCACATCTCTGACGAAGAAGCTTAAAGAAGCTTTCAATGAGAAACACAGGAGCGACAACAGGTCGAGTCACACGGATGCTGGTCTAAAAGAATGTATGCAGCAGCTTCGCTTTGTCCGGGACGACCAGGAGCAAAGGATGCATGATGCAATGACAATTAATGGACCGTCTTGTAGCCGAAAGAAAAAAGTTAGAGGTAAGCCTTTTCTCTGCTTTCAGAAATTGTTCTTACTTGGTATACTTATTTTAAATAAATTAGATCTCTTTCTTGTTGATTATTTAAGGGCTGTGCTAACCTTGGCTCTTTTTTTTTCTGAGAACAGACGTCTCGAAGAAGTCAGCTTGTGGAAGGTCAACAAGGGGAGAGGCCATCGGAGTGTAAGCAGCAGTGAGGAATCTTCTTCTCCGGTGAAGAAGCTTCGCTTAATTATGAAGAAGTAAGAAGAAGGGTCTTCGTGTTTCTTAATTTGCAGAGTCATGGTCCGGTTTTGGTTGGGAGGTTTGCTAAATAAAATTGGTTCTTTGGTTTGGTTTGTGTTTGATCTTTCATTTTTTATTTGTAATGTGTTGTTCCTCATGAACTGGTTTGAACAAATAGTATATTGTCGTTTTGGTCAAATTTTGATGAGCAGCTGCTCTATGTGGAAGTCTTATAATTTGATCATACAAACAGTAACTAATATCGCATTTGGGCCGGATTGATCTTGAAGTGTTTCAAAAATTCTATTAATTTTGATATTTTTAAATTCTATTTTATATGCTTTTGATCATATAAAATATTTATTTTTATGTATATCTATCACATTTTTCATTTCAATTATCATTAATTTTTATTATTAATTTTTATATAATATTATTATTAATATATAATTAATCATAGTATTTTCAATATACAATATTAAAATTATAATTAAAATAAAAATAAATGAATTGAAAAATAAATTAGAAATAAAATTAAAATAAATTTTTACGAGTTTGGATTTTTGTAAAAATCTCAGGTTATATATTTGATATAAACTATTTTCAAACCACTTTTATTTTAAATTTTCCAAAAAAAAAAAAAAAGATGTTATTCTTTCCACTATAATTAGAAAAAAAGTAATAATTTTTCTTTTCTTCTGTAAAATAGAAAATTACATTGAAGAAGATCTTAATCTTTAATATGTTATTCAAGGTTAAAAAAAAACATATGAGTCAGAGAATGATAAAAAAATAAAGAAAAATAATTTTAATTAATTTTATGTTTTTATTTCAGATATTTAAAAATATTATCTTACACATATTAATTCTTTCATGCATATATTTTTCCAATATATTAAAATATTATTTTATGAATCAAGTTTTGTATATATTGTGATTTATTATATTTTATATTAACAAATATATTAAAGTTAGGAACACGAGAACTCTTAATTTTTAATATAACAGTCAAATATTAAATATATTATTTTACACAATAAATTATATACATATAAGTTTAGATCCGACTAGTTTAAATGCTGCAGTTACTGAGAGTTTGTGGAAGAGAGCAATTGCGGACTATAAAAAATTTGACGAAGAGATGAGTGGAGAGCTATCGGGAAATTTTATAAAATGTGATTTCACAAATTTGAATTTGTAATAAATGTTTATTATTAATTTTTATTTTAAAATTATATATTATTAAACGCTGAAAAATAAGAAATTTTGATAAAATACAAAACGAAAGAAACGATTCTTGTGATTGTTGTTAAACGCCAAAAACTGCATTATGTAAAAACATAACGTTTGTGGAAAATATCAAAAAAACCGACCAACACCTAAATATTATAATTCACTTATTTCTAACTCATACCTACATGCATAAATATATGTATTAATTTAAAAAAAAAATCAACCACATATTATAAAAATATATATTACAAAACATATATTTTTTTTTTTTTTTTAACACACAAAAGTCATACTTCGATTTTCCACAAATATATATATATATATAAATTTTAATCATGCAAAAGTCAAAGTCGCATGCGAATTTATCGTGCATACAATTTGTTAAATTTGATTACAGTCTAATTTCAATTTTAGTTATTAGAAAATTTATATATTTTTTTGAAAATATATATATGTCCTAAAAGCGCTGAGGTGGTTGGTATGCACGAATATGCGGACCAACCATTTACCCACTTTTAGGATAAGTAAAGATGATAAAATTTATTTTGATTTAGTTATTAATAAGTCAATAAAAATTATATATATATTGGCAAAATTATATTGTGTAAGAAAAAAGCATAGTATATATAATACTCAACATATTATAAAAATTTAATTATTATTTAATATAACTTTTAAATTTATAATTATATGTTACTGTAAATGTTTAAAAAATTCAAAAAATAAACGATATAAAATGTTTGTGTGATTGTTGTTAAGTACTAAAACTGTATATGTATAAAAATATAACGTTTACGTAATGTATAAGAAAATTAATTAATATTTAAATATTGCAACTAATTATGTGTACAAAAAATTATATCAGTACATGTGTGCGGGGCAAATTTTATTTAGTTATCCTATTTACACTTTTTATCTAAAAGAGTATTTTTAAATTGTAGCTAGTTTTTTTATATATATTCGATTCCTATTGAAATTTATGATATTTTCATCTGGTTTATCATTTTTTTATTTATTATTAAATGTTTATATAATATTATTATTAATACATAATTAATCATGTACAAATAAAATATATTTAATATATTATATTAATCATATATTGAATATATAAAATATTTTATAGCCCGCACCATTGCGGGCCGATCATCTAGTTTACAGTTATAGTGAAAAACATGTCTCACACAATATTGAATTCTCCTTTGAAATCTAGGAAGACTAGGGAGGTTTACACTAATTTTCATGAATAAATGTACTATCTTTTCTGCTTTAGTGCTTTAATAGTTTCCAAGGAGGTTTCATTATTTATGCGACATTCATGGAACATAATTCTGTGTAACTCGATATATCTTCTGAAAATGTAGAAGATTCTTCAAGAGGTGGTGCTGGAATTCGGAAAACAGGCCTTGGAGGGACTTCAAGAGCATCCACACTTCCTTCAATCATCTCTACTACTTTGTTCATCGGTGGGCGATCTGATGGTGAAGGCTGAATACACCACAACCCCACCAATGTCAGTTTCTTTTGTATCTCCTCTTCTTCGCAGGTGATTCCATTCTCGATAAGTCTTTCAGTATCTCTCTTCTCAAGATCCTTATATATCCATTCAGGAAAGTACACTGAGCTTGTGTTAGATCCAGAGTTTTGAGTAGTTCTTTCTTTGTTTCTTGCTCCTATCATCTCAAGGATCAACATTCCGTAGCTATACACATCTGACTTGTGGGAAACTCCACCATACATTCTTGAAAAAACTTCAGGTGCAATGAATCCTATAGTACCTCTTGTGTCTAGCAATGACATGATGCTCTCTTTCTTCTCGCATAGCTTTGCAAGGCCAAAGTCTGAAACTTTTGGGCAAAGATTATCATCTAACAATACATTCTGCGGTTTTATGTCAAAATGTACTATCCTTGCTTTGCAACTATGGTGTAAGTACTCAATGCCACGAGCAACTCCTAAGGCGATCCCATACAGTGCCTTCAAGTCCATATTCATCGAGGTTTTACCTGAGATGAATCTATCAAGAGAACCATTTTCCATAAATTCATAAATAATTGCTCTGTGGGAACCTTCATAGCAGAATCCAAGCAAGTCAACAATGTTGACATGAGAAGTTTTGCTCGTACTCGCAACTTCATTGATGAAGTCTTCACCATTATTACCTATTGTGTCTTTTAAGATCTTCACTGCAACACTACGACCGTCACAAAGCGTTCCTCTGTAAACAGTTCCAAATCCGCCTTTCCCAACCACTTCTACGAAGGACTTTGTAATTTTCTTTACCTGCGCATAGCTATAGCGTTTCAGTGGTATAAGGGCCTTTAGATTATGTTGTCTCTGAATATGTGATGTCTTCCTTCGCCTAAGGACACATAATAAGCCTCCCGCTATAACAGTAGTTCCCATGAATGCAGAAGCAAACCCAATTCCTTGAGATGAAAAAAAAAAAAAATTTCAAAACAAGATTTTGCAGTTGCCTACGGTATATGGTAATCAAATCAAGGTACACACCTGCTCTCGCTTCCGATGATAGGCCTGCACCAAAAACAGGTCAATTCGAACTTAATATACAACTTTGAATCTTATTGAAAACTTAATGCAGTGCTTTTAATCAAATTGAAAGTTAGGTGATCGAGAGATTGAAGAAAGAAACAAAGGTGGTTCTAGCCGAAGGCGGGGTTACATTTTATGGCGAAAAAAAAAAAGAAATGTTTCTTTGAACAAAAAATGGCATTTTTGGGGAACAAAATGCGGAATTGTGAATTGTGTTTTGGCTTGAAAAGACAGTTTTATTTGACCAGATCTGTTTACATTCGCGAATTTTAAACCCATTTTAAAATCTCTAAGAACAGAACATTAGGTAAATAGAACTTAACTGAAAAAAACTTACCCTTGTTTCTAGATCTGCAAGCACCCCCGTCTATACAATAACAGACGAATCCACCTAAGGTCTGATTATAACCACAAGCATCCCCAGAGTCCATGCACTTCAAACATTCTCGGTTTTGTCCAACCTCGAAACCCTCTCTAAGAGCTTTTCTAAAATTATCTTGACTGGGATTGCTTTGTAGTGTATTCAGCGCTGGTCCAGATGCGGGAACACTGACGTTTCTTTTGCACGATCCCATCAACTCGTTTAAAAGGCTACTCATACCTTCAAGTTGAGGGGACGAGAGGCTTCTTGTAACAAAGTAACTTCGTCCATCATCACAAGTAAGCTCCCCGACATAAGTTGAAGTTCGAAATTCTTGGCAGTCGTAATAAATCGTCAGCAGCTCGGTGCCAGAGACCAGTCGAAGGACGTTTTCGTTGAAAGGTTCAGTTAATGGGTTTTGGGGACAAACATCGGTTATATACTCCGATCTAGCGAGTTTTATGATACGGGAGGTAGGGTAGTTTGCCTGTAAGATTGTGAATTTGACGGAGGAGATGCTAACCTCTGGGAAACCGGAGTTTGTGTTACATTCGAGCTTGTACTCAGGGTGGCCGCACTCGTCTCTGCCAGTAATCCAGAATGGGTACGAGAGATCATTCTGATTGCCGCAACTAAACGGTTCACTGCAGCGTATGTGAAGCTCGCTAGCTGAGAGAACACAAGATGGGATCACAAAGAACATCCATAGGATTCTATAGAACATAGATTTTGTTGGGAAGTGAAAGAGATTGATTAAGATCAAAACGAGTGAATGGTTTTGGTTTAAGTCATGGTTGTTTTTGTAAGAGTTAAACTAATGAAGTTACGTTCGGTCTGTTTGACCCACCTTTTTTAATTTTGTTTTGTACGACCACTTCAAAGTCACGTGCTTTGACATTTCTCAAACCTAAGGAAAAAAAAAAATTGACCATTTCAAAGGCCCTTTTTGAGTTTTTTTTCTATGTTTTCAGTTCCAGAAAATTAAAGTTATTGCAGAAAAATTGGAGTGTGGAAAAAGGTAAAAACCATTTCACTACGGAAACTGACTGATGTGAAAGATGAAAATTTAATCAGTGAAAGATAGTGACTAAATGCCAACTTATTAATTAATGCCAATTTGCTGGAGACAGGAAAGTTTCAGACAATTTAAGTTTATATCTTGTATATCAGTGATAGAATACAGTGAGGCTCTCGTAGGAAAAGATTCGCAGTGGTAGAATACAGTGAGGCTGAGTATCAATGGTCAAATCCGAGGTATGAGTTGGTTGACATGGGATAAATTACGTAGATATAAATTGGATGAGAGTTTTGGTTTCCGAGTTATTAAGGATTTTAATATAACTTTACTAACTAAACAGTTATGGAGATTAATTAATATTTGGGATCTCTTTTTGCAAGTGTTTTAAGGGTGGATATTTTAGAAATGATATACCGCTTGATCCAATACGTTCATATTCTGCTTCATATGGATAGAAGAGCATAATTTCTGCTAAATTTCTAGTACATAAAAGATTCATCAAAAGAGTTGGAACAGGTCACACCATATTTGTATGGAATGACCCTTAGATTTCTGACTCACGTCCGAGATCAATAATCTGCAAGGGATATAATCTTTACCCTACAGTCAATCAATTGTAATTGACCACTCAACTGCAACATGGAATATATCCCTACTAGAGTAGTTAATCATCTCAGAGGATATACCACTAATAATTGAGATACCAACAACTAGGCATAGAGAGTAGATCGTATGAGTTGCAATTTTATAAAAATTGGTCGATACACAATTAAATTTGGATATGTTTTGGAACGCAACACCCATTATCTACGCGCTAACCCACAAGTCTACAGATTTAAGTCTTTCACCATCTCTCTTCTCAAGATCCTTATATATCCATTCAGGAAAGTACATTGAACTTGTGTTAAATGCAGAGTTTTGAGCAGTTCTTTCTTTATTCCTTGCTCCTATCATCTCAAGAATCAACATTCCATAGCTATATACATCTGACTTGTGAGAAACTCTACTGTACATTCTTGAAAAGACTTCAGGTGCAATGTCTCCTATTGTACCTCTTGTGTCTAGCAATGACATGAAGCTCTCTTTCTTTTCGCAGAGCTTAGCAAGGCCAAAGTCTGAAATTTTTGGGCAAAGATTATCATCTAACAATAAATTATGCAGTTTTATGTCAAAATGTACTATCCTTGCTTTACACCCATGGTGTAAGTACTCTATGCCACGAGAAACTCCTAAGGCAACCCCGTACAGGGCCTTCAAGTCCATATTCATTGAGGTTTTACCTGAGATGAATCTATCAAGAAAACTGTTTTCCATAAATTCATAAATAATTGCTCTTTGGGAATCTTCATAGCAGAATCCAAGCAAGTCAACAATGTTGAGATGAGCAGTTTTGCTCATGCTAGCAACTTCATTGATGAAATCTTCACTATTATTACCAGTTGTGTCTTTTAAGATCTTCACCGCAACACTACAACCATCACAAAGGGTTCCTTTGTAAACAGTTCCAAATCCGCCTTTCCCAACCATTTCGGCAAATGACTTTATCATTTTCTTTACTTGCGCATAGCTATAGCGTTTCAGTGGAATGCGGGCCTTTAGATTATGTTGTCTCTGAATATGTGAGGTCTTCCTTCGCCTAAGGACACATAATAAGCCTCCTGCTATAAGAGTAGTTCCCCTAAATGCAAAAGCAAACCCAATTACCTGAGATGAAAAAAAAAAGATTGTGCAATTGATTATAGTATATGGTAATCAAATCAAGGTAAGCACCTGCTTTCGCTTCAAATGAGAGGCCTGCATCAATGGGAGTGGCACCAAGAAAGATCAGTTCGAACTATATATAGAACTTTGATTCTTATTGGAAACTAAATGCAGAGATTTTAGTCAAATTGCAAGTTTTGTGATCGAGAGATTGAGGAAAGAACAAAAGGTGGTTCTAGTAGAAGACGGACTGCATTTTATGGCGGAAAAAATGAAATGTTTAAATGAAATAACTAAATAATTGTGTTTTTGACCTGAAAATACAAAGTCTCTTTTGGCCAGATCCGTTGACATTCTCGAATTTCAAACCATTTTAACATCACTAAGAATAGATTATTAGATAAATAGAACTTAGGGATAATGTTTTAAATAATTTATTTAACAATTATGAAACATGACCCTTTCTAAAATGACCCATAAGAGAGATCCACTAATTTGCTTTCAGTCTGCTGTTAGTCTTCCATTAATTTGCAATTAGTCTGCCAGTAGTCTTTATTTAATTATTTGACCAAACAGTCTGTTATTAATCTACATTCAGTCTGCGGTTAGTCTGCCATTAGTCTACAAATAACAATGTTCGGAAGATAACGCTGTTATTTATAAAAATCGTAAAAAAATAATCATTTCACGATTTTCTCTCAATGAGATACCCATTTTACATTATTTTATCATTCTAAATCATTTTGGAGCATTTTCTCTAGAATTTATATGAAAAAACGAACCCTTGATTCTAGATCTGCAAGCACGGTTATGAGGCCCATCTATACAATAGCAGATGAATCCACCTGAAGTCTGAATATAACCACCACAGGCACCCCTAGAGTCCATGCACCTCTGATATTCTCGGTTTTGTCCAACCTCGAAACCCTCTTAAAGAGCTTTTCTAAAATTATCTTGACTGGGATTGCTTTTGCAGTGTATTCAGCGCTGGTCCAGATGCAGGAATACTGACGTTTCTTTCGCACGATCCAATGAAGCCGTTTAAAAGGTTTCTCATCCCTAGAAGTTGAGGGGACGAGAGGCTTCTTGTAACATAGTAAGTTCTTCCAACATCACAATTACGCTCCCCGACATAAGTTGAAGTTCAAAATTTTTGGCACTCGTAATAAATCGTCAGCAGCTTGGTGCGAGAGACCAATGGAAGGACATTTTCGTTGAAAGGTTCATTTAATGGGTTTTGGGTTCAAACACCGGTTATGTACTCTGACCTAGCGAGTTTTATGATACGGAGGAGATGCTAACCTCTAGGAAACCGGAGCTTGTGTTACATTCGAGCTTGTACTCCGGGTGGCCGCATTCTTCTCTGCCAGTAATCCATAACTAAACGGGTACCCCATTGAAGGAAGTTGAGGGTACAAGAGATCATTCTGATTGCCGCAACTAAACGGTTGACTGCAGCGTCTGTGAAACTCACTGGCTGAGTACGAAATAGCACATATATATTGAGCACAAAGAACATCCATAAGAGTGATAAGATTCTATAGAACATATATTTTGTTGGGGATGAAAAGATTGATTAAGATCACTACGAAATTGGTTTGGTCTAAGTCTTGGCTTTTTGTAAGATTTAAACTAATGAAAATTACGTTTGGTCTCTTTACCAACCTTTTTATACTTTTATTTTGTACGACCACAAGTCATGTGCTTTGAAATTTCTGAAACCTAAGGAAACAAATTTACCGCAAAAGTTACAATCTAATTTTTGAAAAAAATTGACCATTTCAAAGGCCCTCTCTGAGTTTCTTTCTATGTTTTCAGTTCCAAAAAACTAAAGATATTGTACAAAAATTGGAGTGTGGAAAAAGGCAAAGACCACTCACTACGGAAACTGACTAAATGCCAACTTAATTGATGCCAATTTTCTAGAGACAGAGGAAAGTTTCAGTCTAGTTAAGTTTATATCTTGTATATCAAATCCTCTTCTAAGATCACTAGTAAGCTATAGTAACTGGTTGCTGATTGATATGTGAGAGGGTAGAAAAAGGGTCTGCAGAATGAGAAAAACTGCAATTTCAGTATAAGTTGTTAAAGAAGATGTATAAGAAGCCTTTGTATAGTGTATTGCATCCTGATGATGAGGCTTCCTGGCAGCAAACCTGTGTGGTATCTTCGAAGCTGCAGATTCCATGAGATGATGAACATTCTTGACATGCTCTCTCATCGATCGTCAGCTTCACATCAAACCCTTCTCTTAAAGCACTTTCCAAATTGGTAATGTTTAACTCTTTCTCTTCTGGAACAAAGCTCTTAGGAACGTTAATTGTGAAACTGTCATCACAAGAATTGTGATAATCAAGGGTTTGAGATACTGAGATAAGACCTTTACCAGGACATGTATAGCTCGAATGGTAAGGAAGCTTAGGGTTGCAGAGGTAGAAGACACTGAGGTTCTTGTAGGTTGGTGAAAGCTCAAAGATTTCAGGAGGCAAGGTTGCGGCTGTGAATGTAGCATTGCAAAAAGAGACTCGAAGCTCTGATCGGTCCAGTATGAGAGTTTTAGATTTTGGATCTATATGGAGAACATCGTAGAGATGGTTTGAGATGATTATAGAGGCCTTGTTATTAAAGCAGTGAAGCTCCAGTGATGGATGACCGCAAGCTTTGGGACGATTCGCACCTGAGAAGGGGAAACCAGCTGTGATGTTCCCACAATGAAACTGAGACTCGCACCCCCCAAGTTCTTGTTGACTTGAAGTGCAAGGAAGATGGTGAAACATGGAAAAGAGGAAGAACAAGACTAGACAAGAAGAGGGGAGATGGTACATTATTTGTTTGAGATCTATTAACAGTGGTTGAGAGGAAACAAAAGGAGAGAGAGAAATGGTTGATAAGGTGGAAAGAAAGTGTGAAAGGTCATGAAGGACAAGTCAAGAAAGGATAGTGACAAATACCGAGAGACTTGGTGTCCATTTTTATGACTTGTTTTTATTAGGAGGAAACGTCCCAAAATGACCGAGAATGATAAAGTAATATGAAATAGGTACTTTTTTTTTTGACAATATGAAATAGGTACCTTATTGAAGAAAAATTGTGAAAATAATTTTTTTTTACAATTTTTTATAAATATCAGTGTTACCCTTCTAAGTATTGTTACTTGTAGATTAATAGCAGACTGAATGCAGACTAATAGCATACTGAATGCAGACTACTGATTGGTCAAATAATTGAATGTAAACTACTGACAGACTAATGGTAGATTAATTACAAATTACTGGCAGACTAACAACATATTGAAAGCTAACTATTGGATCTCTTTTATAGGTCATTTTAGAAAGAATCATATTTCGTAATAAAATTTTCATTGGGTGATTTCAAAAATTATCTTTTTTATTAGTTGACCCTAAAAGATAAAACAATTGAGACATTTCTCAGTGGGTGTTAGTTTTTTTCTTAAATATAAATAAAAAGAAGATCTTTATTCAAATAAACTACAATATATAATCGTTTTTATTTTTTTTAAAAATGATCTAAATTGATAAATAATGTTAAATATAGACTTTTATAAAGAAAAATTATAAAAATTAATTACTTTAATCAATATTATAGAGAGAAATGCCCTCATATAAACTTAATTTAAGTTTTTTTTCTAATATACAGTAACATTCTAAAAAGTTCCTTCTATAACATTTTTCATTAAAAGCTTGACCATATTAACCTTAATTAGACAAAACATTTGTTAATAAAAGGAGAAGAAAAATAGTGTATAAACAAAGGTATCAATGGTCAAGATCTAAAAGATCCACAATTTACAAATCACAATCAAAAGATTCGAATTTCAGATCTCTCTTGGCCATTGATACTTTTTTTATACACTATTTTTGATGGAAAAGTGTTTTTGGGATTTAAAGCTCAAAATCATATAGTGGAAGATACATCTGATATAATTGAGTAAAAAAAATCAAGAAATCTGAACTAAAATAACAACAATGGTGAAAAAAATGAAATCGGTAAAAATTAGGGTTTGAATGTCGCAGAGGTGAGGAAGGAGATGAGAGTAAATTTAAGGAAGATATTCTAAGCTTTAAAAGGCTTTCCTAAAATGAATAAATTCAGGAAGTCATTATATGTATTGAGAAAACCCTTTGTAAATCGTATAATTGAATTGTTTTTTTAAATTTATATAATAATTCAAATTCAGGAAGCCTTTCCATAATTTAGTAAGCTCTTCTACAATTTAGGAAGCTCATCCACAATTCAGGCATTTATAAAAAATTAGGCAAACTTTTCAAAATCATATGAAGCGATGTTGAATTTTAATATTTGGATGACCTTCCTAAAACATCATGAAATATTAAAAAATATATATTTAGGAAGACTTTCTTAAAAGGTAAAATCAGAAAGATCAAATAAAAAATATAAGAGGGTGATTTTTTTTGGGATTCTTGTAAAAATGACCTAAAATTTGATTTGAATTACAAATCTAACCCACAAAAATCACATTCCCAACATTTGCCATTTTGTGTCTAAACAATCCTTCATAGTTTCAGTTATTCACGAAATTGCCATTATTTTTAATTAATTTCATTTATTTTCGGAAATCCAAATGACCAACTAATCTTCATCTTCCTCACTTATTTACGAAAATGCTCTGAAAGTAGATTTCTCTCGGTCCGAATGAAGTCTACTAGTCAACGCCCAGGTTAGTTTTGCAATTGACCGCATGAAAAAGTAGACTTCTTTTGGTCCGAATGAAGTCTACTCCATTTCCTTTGATAACAAAAAAATAGAGTAGACTTCTCGAGTAGACTTCTTTAGAAGCAGGTCATTTTTGCAATTGACCAACCTTTGACTTTGTAGAGTAGACTTCTCTATGGAAAGTAGACTTCTCCGAGAAGTCTACTTTGGTAAGTAGACTTCTCGCATGTCATTTTTGCAATTGACCAAAAAGTCAAATATTTTGCAATTGCAAAAATGACCTGCGAGAAGTCTACTTACGAAAGTAGACTTCTCGGAGAAGTCTACTTTTCATAGAGAAGTCTACTAATATTTTGGCAATTGTAAAACTAACCTGCGAGAAGTCTACTTTTATCCGAGAAGTCTACTTTTCTTGTTTTAAAAAAAAATCATTTTTATACAATATATAACAAATTTTTAAGATTTTCGTAATCCTAAGCTTCTGTTATTAAGTTTTCTTGCTTATGTATAAGTTTTGCATGTTTATATTTTATAGGTATAGTCAAATGAGTTTTCATGTTTTATATGATACTTAGCTTATTAAGAGTTGACTTCTTAGTCTAGTCTAGAAGTCTAAGTCTACTATGTAGACTTCATCCGACTTTCAGGGAAGTCTACTTATGCAATTTTGATGTCTAATGTTGTTTGGATTTTGTTCTTTTTTCACAGAGAATGGCTCACATACCCGCTGTTTATGGAGAATGGGTTAAGAGTGAATCAGTGTGGCAGTTCGAGGTGGATAATAGCAATGGAGGGCGAATGTTGTTCTTAAGAGATGGTTGCACACATGGTGAACTTCTTGGTGATTGTTGGCAAAGGAGGGCGAATGTTGTCACCTTTAAGTTATGTAAAATTAATGTCTTTAAGAAGTCTACTGGAGACAATGAGAAGTCTACTTCAGAAGTCTACTCGAGACAAGAGAAGTCTACTCGGCTGACAAGTTATATGATATAAATGAGAGAAATGTCCCTCTGAATCACTTTTATGTTATGTAAAATTAATGTCTTTTAGAAGTCTACTCGAGACATGAGAAGTCTACTCGAGATAGGAGAAGTCTACTCGAGACAAGAGAAGTCTACTCGGTTGACAAGTTATATGATATAAATGGGAGAAATATCCCTCTGAATCACTTATAAGTTATGTAAAATTAATGTCTTTAAGAAGCCTACTCGAGATAGGAGAAGTCTATTTTGTAGAATAGATAAACATAGATAATTTAGGAATTTGATACAAAACATTCAATGCAATTCAACATTACATAGAAAATAACTCTCTAAACAAACAAACATTTAAGGATCATTAGTTATAAATCTTAAAACTAGCATAAGAAATTACTAGTAAACTAAAATCTCTGAAAATTATGTATGCAACTGAAGTTTGCTTGAGATCGAGAAGTCTATTCGAGAAGTCTGCACGAGATCGAGAAGTCTACTCGAAAAGTCTTCATTCAGATCTGCAAAAAAAAATCAACAAAATTCAGCTCTGTAACAATAACGAAAAATTTAGATCTAAAACAAAATCTATAAAATATATACAACAATAAACTCAGATCTACAAATATAAACTTAGATCTACAACAATAAGCTCAAATCTAAACTAATTAGCTCGGATCTATAATAATAATCTACTATATTTATAACATTCAGATCTCTACAAAAATCAACAAAATTCAGCTCTACAATAATAACAAAAAATTAACAAAATCTACAAAATTTATACAACAATAAACTCAGATCTACAACAATAAGCTCAAATCTATAATAATAAGCTCAGATTTGCAATATGAACACAAAGCAAACAAAAAGAGGAACACAAAAGCTCAGATTTTCTTACCACTACCATAACCTGCAAGTGAGAGGAGGTTGAATGCAAGATAGAGAGGATGGAGAGGATATTGATAGCAAGAAAGGAAGGAGAAAAAATTCATGGCCAGAGAGAAGGGTGAAGAGATAGAGGCGTTTTTTAGATAGAGAGAGACTTTATTGTTATTACAATTAGGTTAAACTCTCCTTATATATGTAGAAAAAAATTCGTGTAAGAAGACTTCTCCAAGAAGTCTACTCGAGAAGTCTACTCGAGAAGTCTACTCGAGAAGTTTCTTAGTATTGATTTTTATCCTAATTTATCTATGATGATTTAAATTGATTATTTTCTGTCAAATTTTATTTTTAATAGGTGTAAAAAATATATATTTGTTGTTATGTATCTAATTTTTTTTATCAAATTATCTTTTATGATTTTTAAAATTAATTGTAAACATATTATTAAAGAGTAGACTTCTTGGAGAAGTCTACTCGAGAAGTCTACTTAACTTCTCGAGTAGACTTCTCTGGGATAAAATAGTAATTGAGGTTGCCGTTTTTTTGTTTGGTCATAAGGGTTAAAGTTGTAATTTCACTACCCCTGTGAGTTATTTTTGTCAAACATGTAATAGGAGGTCTAGTTTTGCATTTCAACTCAAGTTTTGAGTCATATTCAGCAATTCCCCCAAATTTTTTTAGCTTTCTTGTTATATTTGTCCTAAAAATTTATTTTCAGTATAAATATGAAAATTATCCTATATATATCAATACTATTTTTTATTATTTTTATATTACAGACTAATAGTAAACTAAATATAAATTACTAGATTTTTTTTATCACATATTTGTTTTTATAAAAATCCCTTTTTATATTAAAATTATCAAATAAATTATTTAATCAGTTATTAATATCACCTATATAAGACAGTTCCAATGCATTTTCAGGGAAACATAGGTTACTCATTGGTTTAGTAGGTCATGATTACATCTTTAGTGGGAACGAGATGGACTTGCCCTTAAAGCTGATCAAAGATGATTTTAGGAGACAAACTGTCAAGCCACTAAGGCTGATCAAAGTTAATTTCTCTCATAATTAACTCTTCACTCTTCTGTAGAAATGAGAGAAACTTGCCGTTAACATTTTATCTTTCGTCAGCTTTAGTGGAAAAATTGATCGACCATTGTGTATCCCTATTTTGTTCGAAGACAATTTCTTGAAAACAGAGGTAAGTCATGGATTTTATTTTTAGATGAAATAACCCTTTACCACAAAAAAAAAGAGAAGGAAA